GTCAGTTATCCGACACTGTGAAATAAAATATTGCAAGAGTGCTCATGTTTTAAGCATGTTTTTTACTTTAAGTAAAAAAAAACACCTTTGCGTTTGTGTCCTTTATAAAGTTGATCTCTCCGCTACCGGGCATTACCTTTTATGACGCACGTGGCCCGGCCCGGCAAGGTCTCATTTATGTCAGATCCGGCCCTCATAACAAATGAGTTTGACACCCCTGATTTAAAGGGATGCTACGCAGACCACTTTTGAGAAGAGAAGCCACGTGCTTCCCGCTGATCAGCTGCTAAAAGATAAAGGTAAAGGTCTCCCTTGCTCGAAAGCCAGTCGAATCCGACTCTAGGGTTGCGGTGCTCATCTCCGTTTCAAAGCCGAAGAGCCAGCGCTGTCCGAAGACGTTTCCGTGGTCATGTGGCCGGCATGACTCAACACCGAGGCGCACGGAACGCTGTTCCCTTCCCACCGAAGTGGTACCTATTTATCTACTTGCAATTTCTTGCTTTCGAACGGCTAGGTTGGCAGGAGCTGGAACTAGAGATGGGAGCTCACTCCGTCATGCGGCACACTTGGGTCTCGAACTGCTGAACTACCGACCTTCCACAGCCTGCAGTTCAGTGTCTTAACCACTTGAGCCACCGCAGCTGATCAGCTGGAGGGCCCTTTAAATCTCGCAGGAGGGGAGGGAGAGGGGCGCATGCCACACCCCCTTCATTATGGTAAATAATGGCAGCCCCACCAGCAATTTCTTTGCCCCATAAGCCACAATATCCTGGCTACGGGCCTGTATGTAGCTTCTTTGAGAACTTTCCCCACACACCAATCCCAAGGGAAAGCGAGAGATGATAAAGTTAGAAAAGCCCAAATTAATATAGGTCTTTTTTATTTTAAAAATCAATATACAAGTTTGTTCTTTTAATAAAGGGGGGGGGGAATCTTGAAAGAAATCAAAAAGAGGTACAAGTCATAAAAAGAAAATCACATTAGCAGCCATTTCAAATGGTCCAAACCCAGAACGATAAGGGGTGTGCGCACAATCAAGGTTCGACATTCCATTTTGATCATATTCCCTGTCCCCCCCACCACCACAATATACATCTAAATTATTGCATGACTGTAAGAACTACAGCATCAGAGGTCTCGGTGTAAAAAGTCAGCCACGGTTTTGCCCCCGGCAAACTGAGCAGGTGGCGGGGTAGGCTTATTTTTGCCGTTGCATTGTTTGCATTCTTTCAAGATATCAAGTTTGAGTCGGTGAGCTCTGATGGATGGCGGACCATCTTTCCCCCGATAGGTGCCAGCGTACCATCGCCAAAGTTTGCCCCCTGCTAAAATTGTCTCTGAATGAGCTTTAGAGGAAATTCATGTGCTCGGAACTCCCCGTGCGGTATGGTGGTGCATTTCTTAAATTGTGGCCACCCTCTACACGCAGCTCAGTTTCACAGAGGGTCTAAGACACGGTGGGTTTGCTGCCACTGCGGTTTTGGCTGGTCTGATAACAACCTGTCTGTGGTGGCCAAAATGTGTTTTGGAGCCCTTCAGAAGGTTAGGAGACACACGGGGCCAGGTCCGCCTACAGCAGTCCCCCCTTGAGAGGCACGAATGGCAACCGTTGTCATCAGGGCTGAACTCAAAAAAGAGAGTTTTCCATATCCGTCAAAAGCGCTGCCAAAAATCCAGAAAAAAAATCCAAGTTCTCTGTGAACTTGGGGTGCTTACAAACTGGTGTTCCTAGGACGTGCACGGAATTTTGGCCTGCATAATACTCCGAGGAATCAAACAGATCTTGAATACGGTTAAGAGGCTGCTGTGCCATGAACTTGACAGCCGACACTCAACCTAAAAGCTAAACCAGGCCCACTCAAACCTGCGACTCGCCGCAATACAACTGCTGCATATGCTGGGTCCATCAGAGGCATAAAGTTTATATCTCCACTACCGGGCTCCGCTCAGTTTGCCGATATATTATGTTCATCAGGTGAGCAGGCCCAGGGTAGACCCTCATGGCTCAACCACTACGTTTTCGGGAGGGTGGAGAAAAAACTGACACTGATCCTGCTTTTCTGCCAAAAGAAAAAATAAAGGTCTAGTATTAAAAATAATCCTCCAGAGAATGTGCAAAATTACCGTTGGGGAGAGATGGCTCGAAGAGTCTTGCAAGAGGGATCCGCCATGTTTTCTACGGAATCTGGAGCAAGACGCATGTTGCAACCAGGCAAGAAGTATTACACTGGGGCTCTTGACAGTTCAGTGGTCTGGTGTTTCTTCGAACAGATCGTTCCCAGTTTGACAGGAGGCAGGAGCCCTGTTGTTGGTAGCAAGCGAGCCCAAATTACAAGGCAGCTACAACGGGGCAAAGAGAGACAGCAGAGAGGACTTGATGAACGAGCTGGCAGCTCCACTTTTGACACTCGCCCCAGAAGAGACTAGAGAGTTGTCCGGGCCGAGATTTGAACTTCTGGTTCCCGCACATGCTGACCGTAACATAGAGGTGCTATGCAACAGGCCCCCGTTTCCGAAAGGCTAAAACACGCTATCCTCGGTAGGCCTCCTCCAGTTCTGTCATCAAAATGAAAGCACCTCCAAGAATCTGCAGTGAGCACGGGGCTCATCGAGACGGCATCGCTCGAAACGGCATCATCTTTTTGAGGAAGCCCAATACCCTTTTGCGAGTGCTTGCCATTATAGCAGCAAGACTGGGGTCCAGAGACAACGTGCGCTTGGATGAAATTTGGCAACAGAAGCAGGGTCTCCAGCCCGCTCAGCGTTCCGGCTGGATTTACAACTGGGATAACCCCTTCAGCATGGAAGAAGATGGCCCCCAGGTACTCCTTCCTAGTCCCCTCCCCAAAACTCGTCTGTGGCTCTACCTCGAATCCTCTTCTGTGCCACAAGCTACCCACAATCCCTCTGCTAAAGGCCTCAGAAACAGGACACCTGGGGAGGAAGAGAGTTCCACTGGGCGACTGTCCAGACTGTAGAGGGCCTCCCATCTTTAAGAATTCCCGTTTATCGGCCTTGTGAGAGAGGTTCAGGAAGGCCGCCTTTCAGGTACAGAGGAAGGTGGAAGCCCGCAAGGTGCCCCCTTTCTCTCAGCTTGAGACAACACAGATGGACAAGTACCGTGGTGTAGCTACACGCCATCGTCACCAGGGGTGTGTCTTTGAGCGTGACCTCCACAATCTGAATCCAGAGCGGAAAAAGGATGCCAAAATAGTTCCCCTCGAGGGACGGATGAGCGATAAGGCACACAGTGCAAGGCCTGGAAAAGTTTTTGTGGGGACACCCAAACTGGGTACCGTTACAGAAACGACAGGAAAAAAGAGCCCTTATGAAGGTTCGGTGCCAAAGATCGAGTGCTCCTGGCCTGGCCTTCTCTGCAGAGTAGGATAGCATGTGAGGTCAACGACAAGGTGCCCAGGTGCACAGACTGATGCTCATGTGACCTTACCCGTGTCCCCGCTGAAAATACATTGAGACTGGCGCATGGCCTAAGCAGCGGCTTTTGTAACCCACTGACAGTCGTACGAGAGACAGTGTTTGAGAAATGCTTTTGTTGGGTCGGTTCAGGAATCTTGGCTGGATGTTCATATGAAACGAGACAGGACACCATGCATCCGCTTTGCAGCCACTTTCCCCAATTTGCATTCACACAGAACCTGCATAGGAAGAGCTTTGTGAAGTGGCTCTCCCTCTGACCGAGTCTCTGGACTAGGCCCCATAGATCTGTCCCACTAACGGTGGCACTTCTCTTGATGTAAGAACCTTTCTTTTAGTGGAACAGGTCTGCGGGATCAACTCCCCCGCCCCGGTATTCCCGCTTCCCAGACTGTGAGGGAGTTCTTAGCAACATGCATCACTTCCTCGTGGATCAAATTTTTTGGATGTAGAAGAGACTGCAGGAACACTCCCTTCTTTAAATGGTAAGGCGGGAAGTGACTCACAGACATCAGGATTTGGGCCACATTTGCTCACAGTCCAATCACCGCCAATTAAGGATAATGCCTTCAGACTAACCCCCCAAATGCTTGTGATAACCTTAGTCTGCAATTGCCTTGTGAAACAGATGAAGAGTGTTGTAGGCTGATACCTGCCCTAAAAACAGGAGGTTTGGTGGTACTGTCAGCATATGAAAAGCCAGACACCACTGGAGTCCGAATGCTCGAGATCAACAAGATCCAGCGGCAAAGAAAAGAGAGTTTGTACCACGCTGTGCTCATCATACCGCAGGTTTCTCAGTTCCCACCGACAACTCTTAAACGTTTTCTCCCTTGCATTCTGTGGGAATACTGACAACCTTGTTGCCAACACAACTTGAAGAGCGCGAGGGGCTCTCAGACCGACCAAGACCTAACAACGCTGGGGTTCTCTCCCTGCAGGACAGCTTCGACCGCTGTCTTTCGACAAACGCCAAATAGATCCTTGACAATCAGTTGGTGCCGAATCAAGCGGACACCGTGGAGCAAAAGCCAGTCTTGTCCACAACTTCCGTGACCACCCACCTAAGCATGAGTTAGATAGGGATCTTATCAGTATCCTGCCTGCCTTGCTAAAGTCTTGAAAAAATTTCAGAAGTTGTGGGTGGGCAGGCCTAGTTTCCTCGATTCAGGAATATCCGTTCCAGAGCTGGTTCTGCTCCTGGGCAAACAGAAGATGCGTTCTTTGGAGTGCGCAGTGGGATCCAGGTAGGGGACAAGAATACATAGGAGAAAGATGTACGAGAGAAGAAGGAATTGGCTTTGAGAGTCTTGGAGAGGACTTTGAGTCGATCCACCGAGAAGGTTACCCAATCACAAAGCAACGTTCGGGCTTTTCCCAGTCAGGAACCGTATGCCTCGCACTGAAGACCCTCCAGCCAAGAGTAGGACAAGACAATGGTTAAGGCCACCTTAGAACCCGTCTACTTACAGCTCAACACACCCGTAGGTGTGTCCACCAAGGAAGGCTACGGTGCCCCCCCCCGAGACACACCCTTGTATACAATCTCCCCAAAATCACACCCCCTCCTTATTGCACATTGATTTCAGTATTCATGCATTTTACATACATACATAGATGTTTAGGCCCCTATATACACAGAAAGATTAAAATTTGGTTAAGAAAAGAGAACCGCTTTTGTTTTGGCTTTAGATCATTCATTTTCCACCAATGCCCTGAGTACCAGATCAAGAAACGATATAGGTTAAATATAATCAATTCCCCACCTGCTATTTTACACACCGCCTCTCCCCCAGCAAAAAAATATAAATCTTTCCTTCACATCGATAAGAGGTCCACTTTTATCACGGAAAAGGCCCCAAGGGGTCTACTCCTGAGCCTGATAGATGCAACGTCCTTCTGTTTGCGAGGGGACGGTTTTCTGAATGGGTGTCCCCGGGTCCACTCGGGGGCTTCGACGAGGAGGGCTGAGGCATACCTCCCCCCCGCCTGGTCCTCCCAGCCCAACGCCGCTAGCAGGAACTGGTCTGGAGGTTCCCCTCGGTCAGGAGGGACGCAATGGAGGACGGGCCGTATGCGCTGTCGAACTCCTCGTCCGAGCTCAAGTGGTCATCCTTCAGGGAGGACTCTGCTGTGGAGCGGGCTGCCTTGCGCCTGGATCCAAGGGACAGAAAGCAAAGAACTATTTGCACTCATTACGGAAAGGGGTGCTGATCAATACTCCCTCTAAGCTGTGGAGTCTTGTGAGCAAAAATTCCACTTTGTGAGCTACTGGCATTAAAGTTGTGAGTGAGCGAATTGGCTGCTGCAGAAATTAGTTCGCTCTGAGAGCCCTCTGAGAGCCCTCCTTCCTGAGCTAAGGCAAAAATGTGTGAGCTGGAGGCTAAAAAACGGTGAGCTAGCTCACACTAACTCAGCTTAGAGGGAACACTGATGCTGATGCATCTAGCGCAGAGGCCCCCAACCTTTTCGAGCCTGTGGACACCTCTGGGAACTGTGATACAGGGTGGTGGGCGGAACAGCAAAATGGCTGCCGAAGGAGGCGGAGCCAGCCACAAAATGGCTGCCAAAGGAGGCAGAGCCAGCCACACGCTCAAGTGCAGGAGACAAGAGGGGTCATTTTTAAAAAGTGGGGAAAATGAATGTGAGACAGAATAAAACCAACACTGTGAGGGCAGCTGCCACCAAAACAGTGTTCCTCTCCACTGCACAGCCCACCAGATCTCCAATGGCCAATCAGAAGCCCTGCACGAGCCGCACCTGGCCCCGCCCACTTTCTAACAAATACTTGGCAAGCACCTGGAAAGGTGAGGGTAGGTGCCACGGCGCCCACGGGCGCCCTGCTGGGGACTCCTGATCCAGGACAGCCAGATTTGAGTCTAGTAGCACCTTAGAGACCAATAGGATTTCCGGGGAGGGGCTTGAGCTTTTGAAAGTCATAAGAGATTAGGAGAGAGAGATACGGTGTTTCTACGATTCTGTTTAGGATAGTTAAGTTTCTTATTGCAACAGTTTTAACTACTTGAGATTACTGTCCCGCATTTTATTACTTTCTCCTGTTATTACTGTCACGCTCTGGGTCGCCCCCAGGGCCAGAGTAACCAGTAGCCGTGTTGAGTCTTTAATGAAGAAGCAAGTGCCTCAGATTTGGAAGTGGGGGTTCGTTCACACCCCAGACACCTTCCTCAGAATGATCTCTTTCCCACGTTCTCTCTGAGTTGGCTGGGAGATCAGTTCTGAATTCCTCCCCGGCACTCTTCAGCTCCCTTTCTTTTATATCCCCCCCACTCCCTCTGTGGGACCCCTTTCTGTGATTCCTAAACCTATGGGCCGTTCCACCTGCCCATCACCATGCTCTCCTATCATGTGTTGCTTCCCCTTTGGTGGTCCCGCCCCCTGTATACTCAGCGTTCTAACGGGGCTTGTAAGGGTGTGCCTACTTCTGGCAGAGACGCCGATACTCCTCTCCGCGTTCTCGCCGGCTACCACCCTCAGAGGTAATGCAGGGACCCTCCACCGGGCTCTTTCGTTTAATCGGGCTCTCCCCCCCCTTTACGTGGAACGCGGTCCGGACCGTTCCTCTTGCTCCTCCTCTCGCCCCTTCCGTGCTGTTCTGCTCCTTGGACGCTGGGGGAGGGGTCTGGGTTTTTGGGAGCCTTCGGAACCAACCCCCCTGATGCCTCCGTCGGCCTGCGAAACTGGGGCCCCGGCGTCTTTGTTGTCTGGGACTGGTGGATAGCTCGGCACGGGACGCACCAGTCCCGCCGCAGCGGCCTGTAAGGCTGCGGAGGAGCCCGTGGCAGGACAATTACTATTATGTACAATGATACAAATCGCTGTACCTTGATGACTTCTATTTGTTGGCATACGGGCTGTCTTGCACTGTTCTCTTTTTTAAAGCTATAGCTATGCCAATAAAGGGTATTGGATTGGAAAGTCATCTTTTCGACTCTTGTCAGATCTTTGACTCCCGAAAGTTCGTCCTCCGAAAATCTCGTTTGTCTCTAAGGTGCGACGGGACTCGAATCCAGTTCGTCTGCTGCGGACCAACATGGCCACCCCCTGAAACTATTTCCTGATGATTCTGTCCCCAAGCCCACCTTTCCTTCTTCCGGACACAGGACACCGCCAGGCCCACCCTTGTTCACCTTCCCTCTTGCTGCCCTCTTCTCTTTGGACAAACTGTAGGCTCCTTGGGGCACGGAGCCATTTTTTTTTCGAGTAACCTGCTCTGCAAAGACCCCAGAAAGGGCTGCGTGTGCTTCCGGAGGATGCACGAGAAGAAAAGTGCCGCAAGGTGACAACGATCCCCCCCTCTCCTACCAGAGGTCCTTCTCCAGGGCCTTGATCCGGCTCTGCAGCTGTTCGTTCATCTCATGCTGCTCCTCCACCTCCCTCTGGGCCTTCTTCCGGGCGGCCTCCAGCCGTTCGATCTCCTCTTCGGCGCTGTCCACCTGCCTCTTCAGCGCCTTGACCCGCAGGCTCAGCTGTGCATGCCAGGGGGAGGGAAAGGGTTTTGTGAGGGCCAAGTTTGAGGCTACGGGGCTGTCGAGGGGGCGGGAAAGGCGAGGCGGGCCTCAAGGAGGAGGAGGTTTCAATCTCGGCTTGGAGGAAACAAGAATGTGGGAACTGCAGATGAACTGGCCCCCTGCAGAATCAGAGACCGATTTCCCACAAGCAGCTGCGCCGCCCTCGCTCTTCCCTTTCTCCCGATTGTATTAGTCAGTTTCCCACAGCTTCCCACAGTTTCCCATGCGTCTTCTCGATCCTGTTTTGTGAGGATCGAGAAGACACGGGGGAGATCGGGCGAGGCTGCGGGTCAAAATGCGGCCCCGCAGCAAGTAGTGGGAAACTGGTCCTTAAAATCGGGGGGTGCTTAAAATCGGGACCAGGCAGGAGAAGATGGGAGAGACCTCTGCCTGAGACCCTGCCTGAGACCCTGGAGAGCTGTAAAGAGGGACTGTGGCTGAGCGGAAGAGCCTCTGGTTGGTGGTTAAAGTCGGGGGGGGGGGGGAGGAAGAGCGAGGGCGGAGCAGCAGCTTGTGGGAAATCGGTCAAACTGTCTCCTCAGGTCATCAGCAGCTTTTTCCAGGGACTCTAGTACAGAAAGGCCTTTCCGGCACCTGCTACGCCAGTCCATTCACTGGGGACGAACCTCGGTCTTTCTGCATGCAAAGTAGGGGAGGGGCTGTGGCTCAGTGGTAAAGCATCTGCTTGGCATGCAGGAGGTCCCAGGTTCAATCCCCGGCATCTCCAGTTAAAAGGACCAGGCAGGAGGGGATGGGAAAGACCTCCACCTGAGACCCTGGAGAGCTGTAAAGAGGGGCCATGGCTCAGTGGCAGAGCCTCTGCTTGGCTTGCAGGAGGTCCCAGGTTCAATCCCCGGCATCTCCAGTTAAAAGGACCAGGCAGGAGGGGATGGGAAAGACCTCCACCTGAGACCCTGGAGAGCTGTAAAGAGGGGCCATGGCTCAGTGGCAGAGCCTCTGCTTGGCTTGCAGGAGGTCCCAGGTTCAATCCCCGGCATCTCCAGTTAAAAGGACCAGGCAGGAGGGGATGGGAAAGACCTCCACCTGAGACCCTGGAGAGCTGTAAAGAGGGGCCATGGCTCAGTGGCAGAGCCTCTGCTTGGCTTGCAGGAGGTCCCAGGTTCAATCCCCGGCATCTCCAGTTAAAAGGACCAGGCAGGAGGGGATGGGAAAGACCTCCACCTGAGACCCTGGAGAGCTGTAAAGAGGGGCCATGGCTCAGTGGCAGAGCCTCTGCTTGGCTTGCAGGAGGTCCCAGGTTCAATCCCCGGCATCTCCAGTTAAAAGGACCAGGCAGGAGGGGATGGGAAAGACCTCCACCTGAGACCCTGGAGAGCTGTAAAGAGGGGCCATGGCTCAGTGGCAGAGCCTCTGCTTGGCTTGCAGGAGGTCCCAGGTTCAATCCCCGGCATCTCCAGTTAAAAGGACCAGGCAGGAGGGGATGGGAAAGACCTCCACCTGAGACCCTGGAGAGCTGTAAAGAGGGGCCATGGCTCAGTGGCAGAGCCTCTGCTTGGCTTGCAGGAGGTCCCAGGTTCAATCCCCGGCATCTCCAGTTAAAAGGACCAGGCAGGAGGGGATGGGAAAGACCTCCACCTGAGACCCTGGAGAGCTGTAAAGAGGGGCCATGGCTCAGTGGCAGAGCCTCTGCTTGGCTTGCAGGAGGTCCCAGGTTCAATCCCCGGCATCTCCAGTTAAAAGGACCAGGCAGGAGGGGATGGGAAAGACCTCCGCCCGAGACCTGAGAGAGCGGCTGCCAGTCTGAGTAGACAGTAAGAGAGGAAGAGAAGAGAGGAGAGACTGGATTTATACCCCACACCTCACTTGGAGTCTCAGAGCGGCTGACAAACGCCTTTCCCTTCCCCTCCCCACAACAGACACCCTGTGAGGTGGGTGGGGCTGAGAGAACTCTGACAGAAACTGCTCTTTTTCAAGGACAGCTGTGCCAGAGCTTGTGACTGACCCAAGGTCACAACAGCAGGTGCAAGTGGAGGCGTGGGGAATCAAACCCGGTTCTCCCAGATTAGAGTCCGCGCACTTAACCACTGCACCAAACTGGCCCAGTACTGACCTTGATAGACAGATGGTCTGATTCAGTAGAAGGCAGCTTCATGTGTGGTCCACCACCCAGCCTAATCTTGGTTTACTCGTCTCAGAACAGTCTCCTCGGACCCATAGCTCTCCTTTCTCAAGACGGAAGAAGCTCTTTCCTAACCCTTGTCTCACCGGGGATGCTGATGATTGACCCCTGGGCCTCTGGCATTCCGCGAAGGTCACTCAACCACTAACCCCGGGCCTCTCTCCTCGAAGACGTGGTCCTGGGTCAGAGTCATGGTCTGAACACGTGAAGCTGCCTTCTACTGAATCAGACCCTCGGTCCAAAGTCAGTCTTGTCTACTCAGACTGGCCTCTGAGCAAGGGGCATCCGCACCATTTCCAGGTGGGTCGCTTTCATGCCAACCCACCCAAGAACAGCCCAAGAACAGATCCCACCAGGGGCTTCAGGGGGTTCGGGCGCCTTTCCCCGCTGTCCAGGCTCACCCGCCCCCCATCGCACTCTATCCCGCCCCACCGCACCCACCTGGTCTTTCTGGTCGTTGATGTGCTGCCTCTCGTCATCGATCTGGATGGTCAGCTCCTTCACCTTCCGCTCCAGCTTGCGGTTGGACGACACTAGAATGTTCTTCTCTCTGCCGAGTGGGGGAAATGTCACAGGTTCAACCGGTCTGGTCTCGCCTCGATCGATCAGGTGAAGGGGGATCTCCTCTGTCACAAAACTCTGCAACTGAGGTGAGGGGGGGGATCTGGGATCCAGTTTGGTGTCGTGGTTAGGAGCTGGGACTCCAATCTGGGAGAACCGGGTTTGATTCTCCCACTCCTTCGCCTGTAGCCACTGGTGAGAATTTGGGTCAGTCACAAGTTCTCTCGGAGCTGTCCTCTCAAGGGCAGTCCTCGAAGAGCTCTCTCAGCCCCACCTCCCTCACAGGGTGTCTGTTGTGGGGAGGGGAAGGTAAAGGAGCAGGGGTCATTTCCTGCAGGAGCGCACAGGAGCAGAGCTCCAGCAGTAAAGAGCCCAGGGGGTGGGCACATGCAACAAGCCCCGCCCCCTGCTCCCAGCAGCCCTCATTCAGAGCAAGAAGTAGCCAGCTAAGTTGCAGAGCCCCCTCCTGGCCCCCCAGTCCAAAACAGTCCAGTGGCACCTTTAAGGCCAAGTTTTATTCAGGTACAAGCTCTCCCTCCTCTGTGAGGACAGATCTGCATGTCCCACCCCCCCAAAGCTAGCAATCCAAAACAGTCCAGTGGAGCCTGAGCGGTGGGTGTTGCCTTCTGACACACTTCTGGTGATGTCCGGGGGTGTGGCATATGCAAATGAGTTATGCTAATGAGTTATGCTAATGAGCTCCTGCACCTCTTTTTTTACGAAATGACCCCCGGAAAGGAGATTGTAAACGGTTCTGGGACTCCGAGTGAAGGGCGGGGGATAGATCCAATCTCTTCCTCCTCTTCTTCTTCTTCGTCTTCTTCATCAGGATCGGGGAGGGAAAAGAAGAAGGAGAAGGGCCGGACAACTGACCAATCTTGGGCTTGGAACCTGTTCCGCTCGTGGCATCCTGTTTCCGCTCAGAAGGCGCTCAGCACCAGAGGAAGGTGCTGCCCTTGGTGGAATATCTCCATGCAATCCTACCTCAGGACTGTAAACCGAGCAATTAAATGAGACCAATTAAACGAGGGGCAAGACCACTACGTGTGAGGTGGGAGAGAGAACCATGGGTCATCACTGTGTCTGAAAAAACAGCAGCGGCAGGAAAAGACACACGCCAAGGCAAGAGTGGGAGGGCTTCTGGAGTTCTGGCCTTGCTGGTGGACCTCCTGATGGCCCCTGGGTTTTGGCCACTGTGTGACACAGAGTGTTGGACTGGATGGGCTGTTGGCCGGATCTGTCATGGCTTCTCTTATGTTCTTAAGAGCAGAGGTCCATCAGTGGCTCTTAGCCACAAGATATAGATGGAACACTCTGTCTGGGGCAAGTGATGCTCTGTCTTCTTGGTGCTTGGGGGGCCACAGTGGGAGGGCTTCTGGAGTTCTGGCCCCGCTGGTGGACCTCCTGAGGGCCCCTGGGTTTTGGCCACTGTGTGACACAAGAGTGTTGGCTTGGATGGGCTTGTTGGCCTAATCCAACATGGCTTCTCTTATGTTCTTAAGAGCAGAGGTCCATCAGTGGCTCTTAGCCACAAGATATAGATGGAACACTCTGTCTGGGGCAAGTGATGCTCTGTCTTCTTGGTGCTTGGGGGGCCACAGTGGGAGGGCTTCTGGAGTTCTGGCCCCGCTGGTGGACCTCCTGAGGGCCCCTGGGTTTTGGCCACTGTGTGACACAAGAGTGTTGGACTGGATGGGCCACTGGCCTGATCCAACATGGCTTCTCTCTTATGTTCTTATAGCAGCCCTTCTCCAAAGGCAATTGTTGGGCCGTAGGAGGCGGCCCTTGACCCCACAAAGGCCTGCAGGGCTCTGTGAACAAAAGCAGCACCCCAGTAGGCTGCTTACGGGTCACATCCTGCAACTGTGGACCCTGCACTGCAGAGCCAGCGTAGTCTGAAGCGGACTGGCCTCAAGTGCTACATGTTTCCTTGCAAGGAGTTCCCGCTGCTTACCTTTCTTCGACCTGCAGCTTCTCCTGCAGATCCTGGATGCGCGACTCCAGCTGCGAGACGTTGGCGCTCGGCTTCTGCAGCCCTTCGGAGCTGGCCAGGCGGCTCTTGAGGTCTTTGTTCTGGAAAGGAGGAGATTTGGGAGCATAAGGCGAGGTGGGCGGTGGGTACCCCGGGAATCCCTGCTTTCTTGGGATGTCTAAGCTGAGTTATGATGAGCTCTTCGGGCTGCAGAAGTCAGCTTAATAAACAGGAACGTGCAGACGGGGATGCTCAGAAGCGAAAGGCCAATCAGGAGTCCCCTGCTTATTAGAACAGATCCTTCCTATTACTGGTTTGGTGTAGTGGTTAAGTGCGAGGACTCTAATCTGGGAGAACTGGGTTTGATTCCCCACTCCTCCACTTGCACCTGGCTGGATGACCTTGGGCAAGCCGTAGTTCTGCCAGAGCTGTTCTTGAAAAAGAGCCGTTTCTGTCAAGAGCTCTCTCAGCCCCACCTACCTCAGAGGGTGTCTGTTGTGGGAAGGGAAGGGAGTTTGTGAGCCGCTCTGAGACTCCCTTGGGCAGTGTAGGGTGGGGTAGAAATCCAATCTCCTTCTTCACCCAAAGAGTGATTGACACATGGAATTCACTGCCACAGGAGGTGGCGGAGGCTACAAGCGTGGACAGCTTCAAGAGGGAATTAGATAAACATATGGAGCAGAGGTCCATCAGTGGCTATTAGCCACAAGGGACAGATAGGAACTCTCGGTCTGGGGCAAGTGAAGCTCCGTACTCTTGGTGCTTGGGGGTGTGTGTGCAACAGTGGGAGGGCTTCTGGTGTCCTGGCCCCACTGCTGGACCTCCTGAGGGCACCTGGTATTTCTGGCCACTGTGTGACAGAGTGTTGGACTGGACGGGCCATTGGCCTGAACCAACATTGGCTGCTCTTATGTTCTTATGGATAAACCTATGGAGCAGAGGTCCATCGGTGGCTCTTAGCCACAAGGTATAGACAGGGGCTCTGGGGCAAGTGATGCTCTGTCTTCTTGGTGCTTGGGAGGGTCAACTGTGGGAGGGCTTCTAATGTCCTGGCCCCACTGGTGGACCTCCTGATGGCACTGGTATTTTTGGCCACTGTGTGACCCAGAGTGTTGGACTGGAGGGGCCATTGGCCTGATCCAACATTGGCTTCTCTTATGTTCTTATGGATAAACACATGGAGCAGAGGTCCATCAGTGGCTATTAGCCACAAGGGACAGATCGGGACTCTGGGGCAAGTGATGCTCTGTCTTCTTAGTGCTTCGGGGGGGGGGGTCAACAGTGGGAGGGCTTCTAATGTCCTGGCCCCACTGCTGGACCTCCTGATGGCACCTGGTATTTCTGGCCACTGTGTGACACAGAGTGTCGGACTGGATGGGCCATTGGCCTGATCCAACGTGGGCTTCTCTATGTTCTTACCTTGGTCTAAAAGGTTATTAATTGGGTTTTTTATTAGCTGCTGCTTGGCTGGTTTGACAAGGTTTGGCGCTTCTTTGTTAATGGAAAAGATTTCTCATCAGAATCGGCATACCGACTCAAAAGGGGATCAGACCCGTTTTCCCTGCAGTTTGGCTACCGGTGCCAGAATGTACGGTGCCGATTGATAAAGCGCTTAATCGCTCTTGTCCGATCGACTGGTTACAGTTCTGAGTTTGTTACTAGGTTTAGTTTAAATATTAACGGGTTTACGATTTCCATTGTAATCCCTCTGGCTCAAGCAAAGTTATTTCATGTTATTGTTTTTGTTACTGTTATTAATTTTTTTAAAAGTGTGTGGGGGGGAGAGGCCCCTGCATAGACACGCATTCTCTCCCCTCCCTCATTTCTATTGTTACGAGCTGCCTGGCTGACTCCAGAGGCCAGAGGAAACGCTCCACAGGTGATCAGAAACTGTCTTCCTGGTGGCGGGAAGAGCTGTCAAGCCGCAGCTGACACTGTGAATCCTTCAAGGGGGTGTCAAGGCAAGAGACAAACAGAGGTGTTTTCCCGTTGCCTGCCTCTGCGTAGCAACCCTGGGACTTCCTTGGTGGTCTTCCATCCAAGTGCCAACCAGGACGACCCTGCTTATCTTCCGAGATCTGATGAGATCAGGCTAGCCTGGGCGATCCAGGGCAGGGCAAGAGATGTTCAGAGGTGGTTTTCCATTGCCTGCCTCTGCACAGCAACCCTCAACTTCCTTGGTGGTATTCCCATCCAAGGACTAACCGGGGCCGACCCTGCTTAGTTTCCCAGATCTGATGAGATCAGGCAAGCCTGGGCCATCCAGGGCAGGGCAGAAGGCATTCAGAGGTGGCGTGCCACGGCCTGCCTCTGCACAGCAACCCTGGACTTCCTTGGTGGCCTCCCATCCAAGTGCTCACCAGAACGACCCTGCTTAGCTTCCAAGATCTGATGAGATCAGGCTATCCTGGGCCATCCAGGGCAGGGCAGAAGACATTCAGAGGTGGTTTGCCACTGCCTGCCTCTGCACAGCAACCCTGGACTTCCTTGGTGGTCTTCCCATCCAAGTACTAACCGGGGCCGACCCTGCTTAGCTTCCAAGATCTGACGAGATCAGGCTAGCCTGGGCCATTCAGGGCAGGGCATCTGACGAGATCAGGCTAGCCTGGGTCCTACAGAGGTGGTTGTGCCATTGCCTGCCTCTGCACAGCAACCCTCAACTTCCTTGGTGGTATTCCCATCCAAGGACTAACTGGGCCCACCTGGCTTAGCTTCTGAGATCTGATGAGATCAGGTTAGCCTGGGCCATCCAGGGCAGGGCAAGAGACGAACAGAGGTGGGGTGCCATGGCCTGCCTCTGCATAGGAACCCTGGACTTCCTTGGTGGTCTCCCATCAAAGTGCCAACCAGGACGACCCTGATTAGCTTCCGAGATCTGCTCAGATCGGGCTAGCCTGGGCCATCCAGGTCAAGGCAAGTGACAAGCAGAGGTGGTGTGCCATGGCCTGCCTCTGCACAGCAACCCTGGACTTCCTTGGTGGCCTCCCGTCCATGCACTAACCAGGGCAGACCCTGCTCAGCTTCCAAGATCTGATGAGACCCGGCTAGCCTGGGCCATCCGGGTCAGGGCAAGAGACAAACAGAGGTGGATTGTCATGGCCTCCCTCTGCATAGCAACCCTGGACTTCCTTGGTGGTCTCCCATCAAAGTGCCAACCAGGACGACCCTGATTAGCTTCCGAGATCTGCTCAGATCGGGCTAGCCTGGGCCATCCAGGTCAAGGCAAGTGACAAGCAGAGGTGGTGTGCCATGGCCTGCCTCTGCACAGCAACCCTGGACTTCCTTGGTGGCCTCCCGTCCATGCACTAACCAGGGCAGACCCTGCTCAGCTTCCAAGATCTGATGAGACCCGGCTAGCCTGGGCCATCCGGGTCAGGGCAAGAGACAAACAGAGGTGGATTGTCATGGCCTACCTCTGCATAGCAACCCTGGACTTCCTTGGTGGTCTTCCCATCCAAGTACTAACCGGGGCCGACCCTGCTTAGCTTCCAAGATCTGACGAGATCAGGCTAGCCTGGGCCATTCAGGGCAGGGCAGAAGACATTCAGAGGTGGTTTGCCACTGCCTGCCTCTGCACAGCAACCCTGGACTTCCTTGGTGGTCTTCCCATCCAAGTACTAACCGGGGCCAACCCTGCTTAGCTTCCAAGATCTGACGAGATCAGGCTAGCCTGGGCCATTCAGGGCAGGGCAAGAGATGTTCAGAGGTGGTTGTGCCATTGCCTGCCTCTGCACAGCAACCCTCGACTTCCTTGGTGGTCTTCCCATCCCAGTACTAACTGGGGCCCGCCTGGCTTAGCTTCTGAGATCTGATGAGATCAGGTTAGCCTGGGCCATCCAGGGCAGGGCAAGAGACGAACAGAGGTGGGGTGCCATGGCCTGCCTCTGCATAGGAACCCTGGACTTCCTTGGTGGTCTCCCATCAAAGTGCCAACCAGGACGACCCTGATTAGCTTCCGAGATCTGCTCAGATCGGGCTAGCCTGGGCCATCCAGGTCAAGGCAAGTGACAAGCAGAGGTGGTGTGCCATGGCCTGCCTCTGCACAGCAACCCTGGACTTCCTTGGTGGCCTCCCGTCCATGCACTAACCAGGGCAGACCCTGCTCAGCTTCCAAGATCTGATGAGACCCGGCTAGCCTGGGCCATCCGGGTCAGGGCAAGAGACAAACAGAGGTGGATTGTCATGGCCTACCTCTGCATAGCAACCCTGGACTTCCTTGGTGGTCTCCCGTCCAAGTAATATCCAGGGCCGACCCAGCTTAACGGCTGAGATCTGATGAGCTCAGGCTAGCCTGGGCCGTCCAGATCAAGGCGAGTGACAAGCAGAGGTGGGTTTGCCTTTGCCTGCCTCTGCGTAGCAACCTTGGACCTCATTGGTGGCCTCCCATCCAAGTACCAACCAGGGCCGACCCCTGCTTAGCTTCTGAGATTAGATGAGATCAGGTTAGCCTGGGATATCCAGTTGAGTGCAGCAGTCTTATTAGTATTCCACAAGTCTCACAGCTGAACCCTGGAGTTTAGAACAGGATGTGGGTCAATATACCACTATATTGTATATTGTTTGTTATTTGTATAAAGTATATTGTTTATTAACAGTCTTTTCTTTATTACTAACTGCAGTTTAACAGGGTAATGATCTCCTACTCTTCGGTTTTTAGTTTAGTGTGGGTTACTTTTCTTTCTCCCTAGTTGTAGTCCCCCCTTCCTTCCTTTCTTTGTAGTTTATGCAGTATTATTAAAAAAAAACCCACCTCTCCAGGGGTCTTAAAAACCCCCAACAGGATGTGGGTCAGATGGCAATGTCGCATCGATCTATCAGCTAAGGTCCTTGATTTTTTTTTAAAAAAAGGTGTCCCAAATAATTCAGGCAGAAGCCCTTATTTGCAGTGGCCCTTACAGCACTAACTGTGCAAAAACTTCACATCTACCACATGAGGACTATTCAGCTGCGCCTGAGAAATAACTCCGTGCTCTTCACAAGAGCAAGGAATTTGCTTTTACAAGAGAGAAAGAACAGAGCGTTTGCTGGCCTGCCCAAGGGCAATTTTGTTCCACCTCCTTCCGGCTCGCTGGCTCGAGTCGTCCAGAGTCCCCTCTTCTTT